AATTGAAATATACATTGTTTTATACAGTGTTGTTTCATATATAAAACTTTCGAATCTGTTTCACATGTAATAAAAATAAACACACACACAAACATATATAAGAAACAAAACATGTGAAAAGTTATGAATCATAAATTGAAATGAAAGTAATGACTTTGGTAGGTTTGTATGAATTTGTAACAAATATCAYGTTTGTATTTGAAATTTGCCCTCTCTCTTTCTCTTAAGTGTGAATTGAAGATTCAACTAAATTAACCCTAGAAGACCATATAATCAATATATGAAATTCTGATACTTTTATTTTTAATAACGTATTGGTATAAGATTCGAACTTATGACTAATTTGTAATAGAAATAATATCGACCACTTAAACAAGCACAAATGCGACAAAACCCTAGTTTTTTTCTTCCATGAACCATAATTTAGTTAATTCTTTGCTTTTTTTTTAATAATATTTTCATGACATAAAAAATAAAGTGAAGAATGAATGAAAATCAATTGGTCGAGAAAACGAATTTGAACATTTTCTTGCWTAAATTGCACTAAAGATAGGCATCCACTTAATTAGTTGTTTTATTTTGATAGATTAATATAATTAACGTAAAGTTTTCGTTAATTTTAACTGTTTGAACAAATTTGACGATATTAAAACCTACATGATAATGTATATTAAAAGCAACTTAGTTACTGTCATTGAAAAACTTTAATTAATCTATTCGTCATGGAAGTACGAAATGTGAGCGTAAATAACTTTATCAATTTATATTATGATAAAATTCGCCAAAAAAAATAATCACAAGAATTGTGGCATAGTGGTTTAGATCTTGAGAGATGTGGTGGAATATCATATCTGTCCAGGGTTCGATTCCAAACGTATATAACAATTATGAAGAAAAAAAATAGGCAAAATTATTAGAGAATATCAGCGACCCGCTAAAAACCCTCGTAGGAACTCAAGGAACAAACACAACASCCCGGGCCCTCCCGACAAACGATACAAATATGTGACRAAACAAGTGGACAATATTYGTTCTAGTARAACTTCAACTATATGATACAAAKAATTATATATGCATGATTCCATCATATTGTTGGGCTTTATTTATTGAGCTTAACATGTCTTGTGCAATATGTAGAATGTTTGTGTGCCTAAAATAAGCACTCTGAAGCCAATTAATTCATGTTCTTTGACATTAAATCCAGTGCTTTTCTGAATGCAATAAGTGCATGCCTCTAAATTGTGTGCAAGTAAACCGATAATAATGTCATGTGCTTTTTAGGTGCATCAAGTTAATTATTAGAAAGTTCAGTTCAAACGATCCGGTGTGTCTTAAATGCAACAAGTTCTTTCAATGCCAATTCATCACGTTCAACCATGATTTCTTCCATTTTCTCTCTTTTTAATTAATTAATATTATATATATATATATATATATATATATATATCGTTTTAAATGCAACTCATTACATTTGTACAACCAATACAACCCAATAAATTGAGATGTTTATAGAAATGATACCATGAATAAGAGAGTTAAAAAGTTGGTAATTTAAGAAATAAAAAGTTAATAAATAAAACAAAAAAGAAAAATTAAAATGACCACATAATTGATGATTTCAACTTTAGGTCTACCTCAAGGAACAAAGAATTGTATATTGTCTGCCAATTTCTTTGATCACCCTCTTCTTTGATTCATATTGAAACGACAACACTAAAAAATGACTCATATTCCACTCTATAATCGAATGGAAAAACAAAAAATAACGATACGTGTCTTGTACCAAACCCTAATGATCCAAAACCCGMGAGAGGACTTGCTTTTTCGTATTCTTTTCCGCCCTTAATTTCTTGCACCCTTGMAAGAGTAATTATTAGCGATAAGTAGTATTCTTTACTAAAGGAATCATTTCATGGGTCGATTAGATAACTAACTGATATTATTCGGCAACATTATTAGAGAGCGAGATAGGGATGATATTCTCACTCAAACTCATTCACCATTCTTRTACGGGATAAGCTAAATGCACCTYTATCTACTAATTTTCTTCAAGAGTTACATTTTCAATGCATGATGTAATCTGATTCTGACTTAAACGACACCCACTTTTGCAAATCATTGACGTTGAAGATCATATGTGTGAGACAAGTCAAATCTTGAAAACTAATCGGTCAAAGAATGAAAGAAACACAAAGATCTAGCAGTTAGATGTATACTTGATCAATCTTTGAGTTGAAACCAAGAACGAATTTGAGTACTGTCTGTCATGTTTCATTTATACTACAACAACAGCAGAAAGTACGACTTACTGCTACTAAAACTGCTGCAACCACAAAGAGTCAATAATTACYACTTGTAGTAGTGCTACTTCTGCTTGAATCATGTAACCACTTTGATGAACAAAATTACACATTAATTAGCATTAATTAAGATTAAGGTTGATTCATAGTGGCATTTCCACAATTCACTTCTAGATACACCAAAAAGATGGATAAATACCCAAAACAAGCCCTAGTTTAATCAACGATATATAGAACTAAAAGCAGCAACAGGTGGGTAGTAATCTTGATAAGATCCCACATGGGAGAACATGAAATAAAGAAGATTAAAATAAGATCAATACCAAGATCCAATAGGATCATAAGCGTATTGCTTTCTTTCCTTTTGATCAGTTTAAATATGATCACCTGGTGGAAGAGGGAGGGCTTGGAAYGTTGAAAAGTTTGGCAACTGTTGATGTTCTTGTGTTGGACCTCTCTTTCGTTTCTTTTTCTCGTAGCTGATCCCTCTTGCTTTTGATTGCAAATCACGGACCTCTCGAAGGTAAAGTCTCACAGCTCGAGCTCCAAAAGGGTTTGTTTCAGGAGGCCATCCGTTCTCTTCGTAAGCTGCTCTCAGACGACCAATCAAAGCATCCAAGCTGCCCCAAGCTTGCCGGAGGGGGCAGGGGCAAGGGGCAGGAGGGTTTGGGTGCCCATAAAAGGGGCATATTGGCGTATGAACTTTCGTCTTGCCAAACTGATCGAGGTATCGGAGGAATTCGAGGACATGGGCACCGCTGCACCGCGACAGCGAGAGTGGCGGACGGTGGTTTTTGAGGTACTGTCCAAAGGTGTTCCAGTCTCGACGCTTCTGGTTCTCGTAGCGGCTGGGGGTGCCGGAGGTGGTTGATGGAGAAGTAGAGGAAGAGGCTGCTGCGGCGGCGGTGACTAAGCTGTTGATGGTATGATGATTGCCATCGGAGTTGTCACAACTTTCCACCTCTGGAGGGTAAAGATCCATTTTGTAAAGCAACAARAAAAACAATCAAGCTAGGGTTTTAATTTAGATTTCTTGAATGAGATATGATCGATCTGGGGTTTTCCTGATTTGGGTTCTTACGGGAAGATCTGCGACATGATGCTTCTCTTTTATACTTTCTGTTTTTAGGGTTTCCTTTTGGTCTTTGCTGCAACTGCTAGGGTTTGTTTCTTAAACACAAACACAAAACTAGTARCACAAATCCATATAAATAGAAAGAAAGAGCAGACACAGAAGTGGATGAGGTGATGATCTTTAAATAGAGCTAGCTGTTAGCTTTTCTTTGGGGAAGAAGATCAACAGAGAGAGAGAGAGAGAGAGAGAGATGTGTGTGTGTAGAGTGATGATGAAAGGGCTTTGATTGATAGATGTTTAGGTGAAGTGAGTTAGGATGTTTCCATATTTGTGATGAGAGAGAGAGAGTGTTGAATGTATGTAGAATTTGGATGTTTGAGGAAAAATAGATGTTTCAAGAAAGAAAGTGGTGGGAGGATAGAGAAAGGGGTAGGGGTGGGTGTGTTTGTGTGTAAATGCTAAAACCTTCATCTTGGTTTCCTAAAATAGGGCAAACAAACCACTCTCACTCTTTGTTTAATTTGAATTTCAATATTCCACCCTCTCTTTCTTTCTTTCTTTATATTATTCTTCTTTAAACCTCTCCTTATTGGTTGAGTTGTAATTCTTATAACCTTCTTCTTCACAAATACTTTCATTTCACCTTTTTAGCAAAATAAGTCTAAAACCACAAATCCCACTTCACAACAATTATACTGCAAAGGAGGTGGTCCGGCTATCTGCAAAGGAGGAATAAAAATTCTTTTATGGTCACGGAAGTTTAAATATGGTGACTTCGGGCTATCTGCAAAGAAGATGATCGTCCTGGATTAGTCGGCTCGCATAGCGGGTTGGATATCCAGGTTAATAAAAAAAAAAACAATTATACTGAGAATAAAGAATTTCATAGCTTTTTACCTTAACAATTATACTAAAACTGTATGCTAAAGTAAAGAAAACGAGAGAGATTTTGGAAACTATAAATTTAGAGAAATATATCTAAAAACTTTATATAAGAGAGAGAGAGAGAGAGAGAGAGAAACAATGTTTATACAACTTTCTCATCAACGGGAATTATTGAAATCAGATGTTTAGTAACGAAAAATAATATTTTATTAAATTTATTGAATATTTTAATAATGCTAAAATTGATAAAATAGAATAGATGATGAAGTTAAATTAATGGAATATTTTTTTAAAATTTTGATTTTTGATACTCTATTTTTGAAAAWTTATAATATAACTGCTGGAGATGCTCTTCCATGCATTTTTTAGTTACATGATTTAAGTTAAGCTTCTTTTCCAGAGAAACTATACTTTATGTTAATATTGATACTAGATATTAATGTATATTATTTTTTGATTAACATGGATATCCAACCCGCTATGTGAGTCGAATATTCTCAGGATGACAACCGCTTTGCAGGTAACCTGGATTCATCGCATTTGAAGCTCCGTAACCACAAGAAGATTTTTTTTCCTTCCTGGATTCGAAACTGAGAACTCCANTAGAAAAAATTTAAATATAGTTACCGACGGAATTTCCGTCGGAAAATCTAAATCCCGTTTTAGATTACTTCTAATTAACCCGGACAAGTACTAATATATGAAAAAAAATTCCGACGGATTTTCGACGGACATATCCGTCGGAAAATACAATTCCGTCGGAAATTCAGTCGGAAAAGGCATTTAGCGGCGGGGGTTTTTTCGACGGCTAAATCCGTCGGAAATCCGTCGGAAAGTTGTTTTTCCGACGGATTTTGCCGTCGGAAAAACCCCATTTTTTAGTAGTGATCTTTTCCAGAGAAACTATACTTTATGTCAATATTGATACTAGATATTAATGTAGATTATTTTTTTATTAATATAGATATCCAACCCGCTATGTGAGTCGAATACTCTTAGGATGACAACCCGCTTTGCAGGTAACTTGGATTCATCGCATTTGAACCTCCGTAACCACAAGAAGATTTTTATTCCTTCCTGGATTCGAAACTGAGAACTCCACGTACCTTCGATCTTTGAAGCTCAAACTTAAACCAATCAAACACTACCCTTGTGATTAATGTAGACTTACAGTATATTTATTTCAATATGAATGAGTATTTTATTTTCAATTAATATATATGTATATATATATATATATATATATATATTTATTTATTTAATCAAACGAATATGTATTTTTTTCTTCATGGAGTAATTAATATTGATAAATATTACTTTGAAATTTGAAGAGTCTGTGAATATAGTAGTAACATCAATGTGAATTTACTATTAACATCAATGTGAATTTACTATTTCTGGTAAATATGTCTTATATACTAGTAACATCAATGTGAATTTACTATTTCTGGTAAATATGGCAGGATTATTTTTTCCTTTCCATCTTCTATTTCAAAATATATATTAAATGATTAAAAATGTATTTTTAAAATTCAAATTGATCGGATGCAGGACGACGTCAAGGTCGGAAAATGCATTTACAGGATTAATTGCTATCATCGTCGTGACTTACAAATTGATTAATGCGGAAACACATCTTCACAATAACTACATATCCGTACTGGGCAATTCAAAACAAAAATTGACGTCGATCAACATAATATCATTGAATTGATGAACATATCATACGATGAAGTACAATACAATATATAAGATTAATACGAGTTGTCGTTGATGGTGTAGCAGATGTCACCATCGATGATGGACTTTATTGACATTGTGATTGTAGATGGTCCAAGGGGATGTAAAACTTTGATATTTTATRCAAGGTAAATTATATTAAAAAGTAACGTACTTTAACTTGATTCATATTTTGAGTAACTTACCTTCAAAACTTCCATTTTGGTACCTAAAATGTAATAACATTTAAGTATCCGGGTAATCGGTTGAAGCATTAATCGGTTACCATGCTGATGTGGCGAGTGATGTGGTATCTAACTCAGTATTAAGATATATATACTGATATCACACACCACGTCAGCATGATAACCAGTTAATGCTTCAGTCGCTTATCCGAATACTTAAATGTTTAAAACTTTACATCATATGTATCAAAATGGAAGTTCTGAAAGTACATTATCCAAAATAAAAATCAAGTTAAAATACGTTACTTTTTTCATGCAATTTGCCCTTTTATATATAAAGGAAGATTCAAGTAGACTAAAGAGTTGAAAACTTAAAAATTTTATAAATCCAAAAATATACCTTAAAGATGCATATGTAACTCATCCGTTTATCTGTATTTTCACAAATTATTCACATATAAAGATACATATGTGAACTTATGTTTTTTTTT